ATCAGTCCAATTTTTTCATATTTTTTCTTGTGTTGGTTATGCTTTTGGTGTCATATCCAAAAGGTCATTACTGGGCCAGTGAGATAGTTCAACAGACTAAGTGCCTACTTAGGCAAGACAGGGACTGGGGTTCAATCCTTGGCACCACATATCATGCTGGCTCTGCCCTGGGAGTGCTAAGTCGGCCACAAAGACCAGGCGTGGTGGCACACGCCTGTAATCCCAGTGCTAGGGAGGCTGAAAACAGGAAAATCACTATGAGTTAGAGCTGCATAGTGAGACCCTGTACTAAAGACATAAAAGAAGAAAAATCTACCAAAGCAATGTGAAGATTTGCTCTATATTTTCTTCTAAGAGTTATACAGGGTCAGGGAGATGGCTCAGTAGAATAAGTGCTTCCTTGGCAAGTGCAAGGGTCTGTGTTCAATCTCCGGTGCCGCCAAAATAAATAAACAAACAAACATAAACACACTAAGAGTTTTACAGCTTTAGTTCCTGTATTTAAGTCACGGATCAGTTTTGAATTATTATTATTATTATTATTATTATTGTGCTGGATCAGGGTCTAACTTAAACCTTTTGCATGTGGATATCCAGTTTCTCCTGCACTATTTGTTGAAAAGTCTGCTTTTCTCCCCATTGAATAGTCTTAGCACTTTTTTCAAATCTTTACATTGTTTTTCACAAACAAAATTCTGTTCTGTTATATTTCATGTCAATGATACTCCTTTCATACAAATTGATAATCAATGCCTAAACACATTTCCCTTAAAAGTTCTTATTTTTGGGACTAGGGAGATGGCTCAGTAGAATAAGTGCTTCCCTAGCAAGTGCAAGGGCCTGAGTTCAATTCCCAGTTCCGAAAAAAAAAAAAAAAGAGAAAAGTTCTTATTTTTTCTAGTCTATAACACTCTCCTAATTTCCACTTCATGTTCATAAAATCTACCAGACTTCTAGAAAATATAAATCATATCATGCTTCTGTCTGCTTAAAATTTTTCACTGTTCACAAAATAAACCAGGTGTCATAGTTGATCAGGAGGCTGAAGCATTAGGAGTCCAAGTTTGAGGCCAACCTAAGCAATCCAGCAAAATCATAATAATAATAATAAAGGTGGCAGGGATAATGTGTAGCTCAGTGGTAGAATGCTTGCCTACCATTCATGAAGCCCTGGGTTCAATCCTCAGTCCCACCAATAAATGCATACACACACACACACACACACACACACACACACACTTAGCAAGGCATGTAAAATCTACCTATGCAGCTAAAGTTCCACAATATCATAATATTCTTCTCTATCACTTCTTGTCTTGGTGGTAAGATCCTACCTATTATTTTAAGAAAAACTGAATCTTTCTATGACCCCCACCCTTAGCCCTAGCTTTAATCTATCAATTCCTCCAACATTATGTATACGTTGTAAGCAAATACCATTTTGGTGTATCTGTGCTACACTGGAATTTTCTATTAATGTCATTCTTCTCTACATAAAAACAGTGAACTCCCTGAGGGCACAGAGTATACATTTCTTACTTTTGTGCCTTTACCATTTCTGCACAGAGCCTAGGACAGTGATGACAAACCTTTTATAGACCGATTCCCTAACCTACAACCCACTTAAATATTGCAAAGTGCCAACCCTGCAATTAAACCTGAGTACTGAGGTTTTAGTTTAGGAAAAACACAACTGTGACCCAATGCTCAGCTGCTAGCATGACTTGGCTTGCATGGTGACAGAGAGGGCTCTTCATGCCTGCTATGGCACACGTACTACAGGTTTGTCACCACTGGCCTAGGATACAAAAGATATATAACAGATGTCTTTTAAGTACATGAAGGAATGAGTAGAAGAATGGGAAAATAAATTAAGTCTGATCATCAGGAGTAGGTGCAGGCGACACTGCCTTCCCCATCTTCCCTACCCACTGGATGGGTGTCTGCCTTCTCCATCCAGACTTCCTTCTTTCTTGCAGCTCATAAGGTCCTGCTCATGGGCTTTCTTGGCTGCTTCACATTCCCCATCTCATATGGCAACCAGCCAGCCCTAAGTGTGAAGGGGTTAGAATGGATGAGGGAAAGGGTGGCGATTTCCTTAGCAGTCTGCCAAGCTCCATTCCAACATTCCTTAGTAGTTCCTTGGCATTTCCACTATAAGATGGCACACTAAGAACACATTGTAACTTCCCCTTCCTGTTTGAGATTCTTTGAAAAGATGAAAATACCTAAATGAAAATCTACAACCATACAAGAAAAGAAATAGACTAGACACTCTGAGGACTCCCTCATAGGGCAACAATAAAGAAGAAATCAACACCTAAAAATGCTTCTCAAAACAAAAGCCATGAAGGTAGTGAATCCCAGAAGCAGAAGGGAGTCTTGGGCAGTAAGTGTTTCAAGTCAGTATCTACATATGCATCCTCCCCTTGAATGCTCAGTCAGGCATTGGGTCTGGGCCTTGGTCTGAGAACCTTGGCAGGGGCCAGAGGGTCTGACAACATCCAAGAAGATCAGGGAGCCTCCAAAATCAGAAGATCAGGCCCTGGCACACCCACCTGGAAGCTCCTGCAGATCTAGTTCCACTTCCAAAGAGCTGTCTGTGATACACTTAGTCAAGCAGCCCACCTTGCAACTCCCCTACTAACAGGTGCCACTAAAAGAGCATTACTAATCAGACTAACAGAGAGCATCAAAATAAAAATGGCTTGTGGCCACATATAGTGTGGTGCATGCCTGTAATCCCAGTACCTGGAAGGCTATGGCAGGAGGATGGCTGTGAGTTCGAGGCCATTCTGGGCCTGAAAGTGAGTTCAAGGCCTGAACTACATAGCCAAACCCTGTCTCAAAAAGACAAAAAAATAAAAAATAAAAAGTAAGAAATGGAGGGGGGAAGGCTTTCAGCTCAAAATCACCAAACATTCTAATACGTTAATTCAAGAGAATCAACATGCTTAACAAATGGAAGATCTTATATACAAAAGGACAGAGAAAAAGAACAATTAAGTTATTGCTTTTAGATCTATACAATTTATATTCTCTGAGAGATTTAAGTGGGTATTATGCTCATGAAGAAAGTGTCACCTAGATAGCCTCAAAATTACAAGTTGGATTATTATATGAAAAATTCAACAGCTGGGCTGAATAACAAAATGAGCACCAGTGCAGAATAAATTAAAACAGGAAGACTGAGTTGAGGAATTCTTTTGGAAAACAGCCTAAAAGGACAAAGAGATGAAAAGCATGTGTGTGTGTGTGTGTGTGTGTGTGTGTGTGTGTGTGTGTAGATTTGGGTGCTCCAATATCTATGTAATTTTACATGGAGAGAACACACAGAACAAATCACAGGGTCTACTCAAAGAAAGCAATAAAAAAAAATTTCTAAGGACTCAAAAATTTTCAAATTAAGCATATAATATAAGCCGAGCAACATATACACACATAAAAGATTCATGTCTTAGTGAAATTTTGAGTGTTTCTCAACCCCAAATCTCAAATGCTTCCAAAGCAATAAAAAACTGGACAACAATTGGTCATCTTATAAATATTAGCTTCAGGGTTTTAGTAGACAACAACAGATACCAAATAACAAACCTGCATAGCCTATCACACAATAGATAAAAAGTGAAAACAGCTAATATCAATCAACAGATAAATGGAAAAACAACACATATATATGTAAATATTCAGCCTTAAAAAGAAATGAGGTTCTGATACATGGATGAGCCTCAAAAATATTATGTTAAGTGAAATAAGGCAGACACAAAAATACAAATAATGTTTGATTCAATTTATATAAGCTAGGAAGAACAGGGAAATTTAGGGATGGAAAGCAGAAGAGAGGTTACCAGGAAGTAAGGAGAGGAAAATATGGTAACTTATTTATTGTGTGCCTAATCCGTTTGGGATAATGAAAAAGATCTCAAAATTGGTAATGGTGATGTTTGATTATCAGTGGGCTTAAAACCACTGAATTATATATTTAAAGATGGTTAACAAATAGCTAAGAGTGTAGACAAGTGGCAAAGCACACATTTTGCCTTCATAAAGCCATGGGTTCAATCCTATGCACCAAACAAAAAAGGTTAGAATAATAAATTTTGTTACAACTTTAAAAAATTTTTAAAAAGAAATATGACCAATTATCATAGGAGAAATTGAAAAGTTAGCACAGTTCTGCCAGGTTTGATAGGCAAGATTTATCCATATCTGAAACAGTATTAATATCTATAATAGAGAATTCCTACAAATCAATAGGAAAAGGATGAATAACTCAATATACAAACAGACTGGGGGGGGAGCTAAGCTTAAAGCAGAAGTCACCATTTTGCTATGTCTAAAGTTCTACTGGCACAATGTATTTTCTACAGACTGCCATAGCAATATGTCCCTTCCCATGTACTCTTTTTCCAATGTTACTTTGACATTCTTCCTTCTTGAATCTTGGCAGTTTTGTGCCTAAAGCAGAAATTATGCTGTGTGACCTCCAACATCACGTTTTTTGGAACTTGGGCACCTTACCATGAGGAAAACCAAGTAACACAGGGAAGTCAAGCAGAGACCCCAGTTTCCAGATGGCTAAGCTCCCAGCTGACAGTGAGCACCAATGTGCCAGCCAGGATTATGAGCCGCATCGAGCCCCTCTTAAAGCTGCTCCAGTTGATGCTGCATAGAGCAGAAATGCATAGCTTCTAAGGCAAGATGAGCCAGTTCAATTTTCATGAGCAAAATTGTTTTAGTTTTGTGATGATTTATTACATGGAAATAATTGAGATAGCTGAGAGTTGTGCATATACACAAAAGCAACTATCTGACAGGGGGGTCTTCAGAAGCTGGGCTCACGATATTGTAGGGGAATCCCTGCATCAGTTAGAGCAGATAACATCAGAGGTTGCTTCCAACAATAAGATTCCACAATGAACATGCTGAGCTCAGGGCTGAAGCCCTTCATAGGACTGCCTCTTCTTAGGGAAAGGTCATCTTCTCCAATGACATTGTACCTTTCAGAAAGCTGCCGGATCTGTGGAATTCCCATATACTTGTGGAAGTGTTCCAGAACATTCATTACACCCTGAAGGAGATTAGCAACTTCTCCATATTGTCTGCGTCTGGTCATGGCTCTGCAAGGAAATAAGAAGTTGAAAACTTGTAAAATACTAAGGACAAAAGATACAGATGTAGAATAACTTACTCCAGCTCTGAAACAGACATGAACTTGCTTTAATAAACACTTATCAAGGACTGAATATGAATGGTGCTGTGCACTGGGCAGGGGGCCTCCCTCAAATCCTCAAGGTGACATCATTTGATAAGTCAATATCCATCTATCTAAGATCAAGTAAAGTGAATTAAGTTCTGTACAGAAGTACAACATAGGTTATGTGCCCTTAAATATACAAAAGAATGTGTGAGTGATGGATTCTTACTGGATGAGGAAAAGGAATCTGGGAAGGTTGGATACTACAGGATTAGCAGGTTTCCAATAGAGAACAGGGGTAGAGATTTAACTATCTGAAGAATGTAGCATATGAGCAAACCAAACCACCTTTCTAGGATATATGGAACATTTATATATACTGTCACATGTTAAATAAACTCTGTATGTTTTAACCTTATGATTAACAACTGTCAGAGATGTCCACTTTTCCTGATGCTAAGGTTAATGAAGCTTAAATAAAAGATACTGATAAAATCAACAGTTATACACAACAAGGAAGTACAAACTATTATGGCTGAGTTTTAACATTAATTGTATAATTTATAACTTCCCTTCAGAGGCATTTGAAAAGACAGGATCAAGTTCAAGCCAAGGTGTTCTGTTGCTATTAGGCCTGCTAACACTGACTGCCTGGAGGATGGGTAAAGGAGGCTGCTGTTCCAGTTCCACTGGCCTGTTGCCCTGCCTGATCACTTCCTGTAGAGGAGTAGACTGGGAATCTCCTGACACCCAGGCTATGCCTAGGAGTCTGTTTCTCCTCCTCTTTCCTTCAATATATTCTCTTACTCCTACTACCCCCAGACTTTGTATTA